TGATTGAGACAAAAGTTCGGTCCTTATATACTGCGCGGCCAAAAAACGTGCACATTAAAGATTGTTAGGTTGCAATTTTGTGTACGGATTATTTCACTATAGCGTATGTACCGACCAAAATGAATATAAAAGTTATATATATTTATAATCCATATATTATTTAGATAATTCAATTAATCGATCGAATTAATCTAAATAATAATGTTATATATATTGCACATCAGTGTTAGACGTATTGCACATTAGTGTCTATAATATTGCACAATATCTAACTAACTATGTTCGATCGAATTTTTTACTTTTCAAACTTATTTTGGTTCGATGACATTTTGTTTAAGCAATAAAAAAAACGAAATAACCAAAAAAATATACACAGTTATTATTATTATTATTATTATTATTATTATTATTATTATTATTATTATTATTATTATTATTATTATTATTATTATTATTATTATTATTATTATTATTCGAGTTGCACCTTAACGCCTACTTGATTGCACCTTAACGTTAAACGAGTTGCACCTTAACATATTTATATATATTATGCATTTGACCCATGTATCAAATTGAGATATATTAAAAATTATTAAAATTGCAATTAAGCCACTTGGATATATCTAATTCTCAAATGAAAGCCCCAACTTACAAACACTCCTTCACCATCACAGGCATCTCTGACCGGCGACCGTCTGCCGCCTACTCCTTCTCGACGATCTGTTATACCGCCGGAGAACAACCACGAGACATACATATCCTTGGGAACTCAAAACTGAATTTCACGGCGGATTAAGAGGGTTGCCGGAAATGAGACTGCCACTTCCGACGAGGTTCTCGAATTCAGCGGTGTTTCTCGATTTTACGACGGCGACTGTGCATGGTCGGGAGGAGCTGGAGTCGCCGGACATGACTTAGTTGAAGCATGTGTCGGATGCTGTGACCGGCAGCGGCGACGGTAAATTGATGAGGTCTGTTTGACTACTTATGGAGACGGGGTCGGTCGGAGCTGTGGCTGCGGCGGTTTGGTGGGGGAGGGTCGGGGCCGGCGGCTGCAATGGAGATGGTGGTGACTGTGTGGTGTCGGGAGGAGCTACAATCGACTGTCATGCCTTAGTTGAAGCAGGTACTGGAGGTTGTGATCGGAGGTGGCGACGGAGTCGGTCGGAGCTATGGCTGCGGCGGTTTGGCGGCGGAAGGTCGGGGTCGCCGGCTTCAATGGAGATAGCTGGAATATGTGAAGCGT